TACAGTCTAAATATGTATTTCCAACTGTCTGTAATTTGTTTAATCCTGAAGGGGTTTACAGTTATTTCAATATTGAATCAAATATTAAAGGTACTTCTTCTACATGTACAAATTCATAATGCATTCCATTCTGTGGATTTGAGAAAGTTAATTAAACTTCTTCCCCTGGTTATCTCATCACCAGTTGTTGAATTTTAGAAAACATAAATATCTTCACACTCTGGTCTTTTTTTTTTTTTTTTTTTTTTTGAGATAGAGTCTCACATTGTTGCCAAGGCTGAAGGATAATGGCATGATCTAGGCTCACTGCAACCTCCACCTCCCAGGTTCAAGTGATTCTCCTGCCTCAGCCTCCCGAGTAGCTGGGATTACAGGCGCCCGCCACCACATCCAGCTGATTTTTGTATTTTTAGTACAGATGGGGTTTCACCATGTTGGCCAGGCTGGTCTCAAACACCTGACTTCATGATTTGCCCGCCTTGGCCTCCCAAAGTGCTGGAATTACAGGCTCTGGCCATCCTTAAAGGTCCATTCACTTATGGCTCCCTCAGACTCAATTTTCCCCAGTCTTCCCTTCCTTTTTGTTTCTGGTCTGTCTCCTAGAAAGTAGGCAGGATGCGGAAGAGTTAAGAACAGAACTGAAGACATTTACATTTTTCTCCTGCCCAGGACTTTCAGTTTAATACCTTTTTGTTATACCTCATTTTAAATAGGAATATATAACACAACTAAAACAGAATCTTGATTAGAGATTCGAAGTCTTCCTTCATCTGCAATAGAGCTTTAATAGAAAAGTTTCTTGAATGATATACTCCATTCTGTTGAATACATGTTTTTCTAACTTAAAGGTAATAAGGAGTAAGAAAGCCACATAAGTACAATGTGGAGATATTGATAGGCTGTTCCCAATCTGCAGTAGTGAATACAGGGTAAATACCACAGGTTTTCTAGAAAACTGACTGCTAAAAGTCAAAGAAACTTTAAAAAATAAAAATGGTTTTTTATTCCATCAGTCAAATGGGAAACACTCTGATATATTTATTATTTGTTTATTTAAAAGCAGTATTTGTATAAGTGCTATATTTCAGGGATATAGAATATCTATAACTAACAGACAAGTTATTTTTAGGGAAAAACTAATCAAATGCTTTATTAATAAGCTATTGTTGAGAACTCTTGCACTGAAATTTAACCTCAACCCTCACCCCTTTAACTGCCTTTTCTATATTTGGGACACAAAGAAAAATCATAAGCCAGAAAGAATAACAGAAGACAAACTAGGAGTTTCCTCCTTAGGGTTAGCAGATACACACAGAGGACTAAACATCACACATTTAACTAGGAGGGAGCTGACTAGAAACTCACTCTTAGCTTAAACTCTGAAAACAAGAATTCCAGAGCAATCATTATAACAGCAGGGCACACCAACAGGAATTCATTTTGAAAAACAGAAGAATGTTCTAGAAGTAAAATAGTTTGTGTTCTCAGTCCAAACTATGGGAAAATAAAAATGAGAAATACATTCAAAAGTTAAGAGAATATATTTTAAAAAGGAAAGCATAAATGAATCATTAAAAAGGAAAGCTATATTTGAGGGCTTAAAGCTCTGTTATGAGAAAAAAAAAATGAACTGGGCTACAAAAAATTGAATCAATGATGTGGAGGAAATAGTAAGTCCACTCAGGATGCAGGTTAAAATGTGACCAATGCTGAGATAACAGAGAGCAAAAAGAAAAAGAATAAAAAGTCCACATAAATACACTTGAGTTTGCTTAACAAGAAAGCAGAAGCAATGGTTTAGAAGCAATAATCAAAGAAATAATAGAAGAGTGTTTTTCTGAGATGAAGAAAAATCAGGAAATTTACATAATGGTAAATTCACATAAAAAGGTCTTTTAAATCAGGTCTTTACATAATAAAGGACTATATTGTACAAATGGAAAACAAAAATATTCAAAACTTCTGTTGCAGTATGTAGCTATAGCTATTGCTTCAAAATATACAGTCCACAAATACCAGCAGCATACAACAATAAGAATTTTTTTCTCACAGATCTGCACATCTACCAGTAAAACTCTGTGATCTCAGCTGGGTTCACTCACATGTCTGGGAGTCATCTGGATTTAGCAGGGTAACTCTGCTTCACTCCACAGGCCTGGCTTTCTCAGGTGTGCTCCACCTCTCATTCTGAGACCCAGGCTGAAGGGCAGCAGCCTCCTGGGACAGAAAGGGCAGGTCAAAACAAGCAAGCATACAAGTCCCTGCTTGCACCCCACTTCTTAACATTCTACCCACATGGCTAAACTCCTTCAAGGACATTTTATATACGTATCAGCACTACCCAGTGAAGTCAATGAGAGCTGCCATTTCTCATAGGAACTCTAGTTTAAAAAAAAAAAAAAATTGAGCCTTATTCGTAACTAGAAGAGAATGCCTATGTTCTTTGACAAAATTAAAAAAAAAAACAAAACACTAATTCATGTATTCATATATGCATTTAAAAACTCTATCAAGTTAATACTTATGGTTTCTATTATCCTATTTCTAAATCAAATGTAATGCATAAATAAAGTTATTTGCAAAAGAGATAGTTTGAATTTTGTCCTCACTGAACAAAGAGGTAAATCTTAGTTCTGTTCTTTCTTTTCCCAATGTATTATCCCTCCTTTTCCTCCTCATTTATCTGTAAGTATAAAAGTATGCATTTTTACTTTAGTACGATTTAGAATTATATCACCTCTGTGACTCACCACTCATGTCTAGCAGAAGATACGCAATTTTGGTTAAATCACTCCCAAAGTAATAAGCCTAAAGTCTTTTCTGGCTTTCAGGAAGCCTAGAGATCAATGACCTGCTAATGAAATGCCATTTGTGTAACAATCCCTGGGTCTCTTATGAGTGTTTCCAATAAATGAAATTCAATGACATTGCAAAATGAAAAGTGGTATCACAAGAAAGGATGTTGGGAATTCCAGATGATGTGTGTGCGTGTGCATGCGTGTGTACTGCATTTGCTTAGATAATTATCGGAGTTTGATAGACAGTTTGACATCTTTTAAAAAGTAATAATGTATAGAAAGTACAAGTCAGAAGAGGAGATGAAGGAAAATAGACACTTTCCTGTACTGTTATGTTAGTAGACATTTCAATGGATGCAAACATTCTAGGGAAAAATATGACAATGCTTAGTGAACATTAGTATGAATTGGTTTTACCTGATGGGGTTTAAAAATTTAAAACTACATGAAGTTTGCAGAAGGTTGAATTTTACTGGCCAGTTTAAAATGCATTATATCAAGTAAGCAAAATTATTATATTCTAAAATAAGAATACTATTCCCAATAGCTCCAGTTACAATAGATACTCTTTATATATATAATGCTATAGTAGGAATAGGTGTATGTAGGTAAAATAAATAACACTGGAAGCCAAGAAAGAGATTCTCTTATAGACTCTGAACTGGAAACAGTATTAAGGTAGAAAATAAGATTGTGGGCAACAGGGCTTGGACATTAAATCAAGGTAATTTATTGACCTTGAATGTACAAAAGCACTTTGAACGTGATACATTCTAGTCAAGGTCAAAATTCTCATTGATCTATATTGCCTCACCTGTTCTGCTAGACACTTTGAAATAATTACGAACACATTTTTACATGTGCCAAGCTGATTACAGATAAGTGAAACTGAAGTGGATGCTATTACAAGAACGTAGTCCCTTTTCAAAGATACAGCTGCTACTCAGAAATAGTGTTTTTGTTGCCATAAAGGAGTAAAGACCCAGTGGGCTAGGTTTTGGGTTTTTCAAGAAAATATAGAAGAAACAAAGTTTGCCTTGAATTTCCTAATTTTTAAATGTATTTGGTTTTACTTGGGAATTCAGGAACACAAACTCAATTTAGTAATATTACTCAGTATATGATGAACAATTCTAATCCATTCTGTGAGACCTAGTTCTTATTTATAAATTTCATGTTTATATTTTATCAGATTTCATTTTAATACAATTTAAGTATTGCATTTTATTTTTCCCTTCATCATCTTCTGGGTACATACACCTTTCTATTCCTTAGGTACCTCTCTAATGTTTTGGATATATAGTCGTGGTATATATTGTTATAAAATACATGGATATTTACCAAATAGGCATTGTACTTTTGTCTATTTTTTCAAATTTACTTTAAATGGTAATAAGCTATTAATAATCTTTAGCAAAATTAACATTTTATTTTTAATCTACGTTAGGACCCCTTTGAAGAACCCTGTATGTCTAAACCACTTTTATTCTACTGGTACTGTCATGGACCACCTTGTGTCCTCCCAAAAACATATGTTGAAATTTTACCCTCCAGAACCTTTGAATGTGACTTTATTTGGAAGTAGGGTTATTACAGACTTAATTAAATTAAGGCAAGATCATTAAGGTGGGCCCTAATCCAATATGTTTGATATCTTTTATAAAAGGGGGAAATTTGGGCACAAAGATGGAGGAGAACACCACAGGAATAGAAAGGCAGAGACTGGGGTGACACATCTATAAGCCAAATGCCAAAGATTGCTGGCAAATCACCAAAGCTGGAAGAGGGGCATGGAACAGATGCTCCCTCACAGCCCTCAGAAGGAATCAACCTCACCGACACTTTGATTTCACACTTCATGGAATGGGTTCAAAGCAACCAGAGTTGCTTCTTTCCAACCCCAAAACAAAAATTAAGAAAACGAGTAAGAAGAAGTAAAGCAGTTGAAACAGAAAGAAAGAAGGAGAAAACTATGAGGGAGGGGAAGTAGGCGCATGAGAGAACGAGAGTTACTGCCACGTTGGTGTATTTTGTTCAGTACTTCATCGATGCCACGCCCAAATAACTGAAAGAGGCGGCCGCTGTGAGCTCCCTGGTCCATCAAGAGATTCAATGCTCTTTAGCGTGTCTCACTTGTTAATAAACATTTGTTTTCTTTAAATAAAGAAAAATACTTATTTGATTTCCTGATTTCTTCTGCAGGTCATTTCAATATCAGAATGAAGAGCAATAATGTGTGATAATGGCTGAAAGCAGGAAGTCCTCCACAGTCATGAGGATGAGAGGTCAGTTCATTTGAAAAGAAAGGTGAGTACATTTTCTTCTTCCTCCTCCTTCTCCATTCCTCCCCCTCCTCTCACTCTACCTCCTCCTCTTTTCCGTCTTTAATTTATGAGACCAGAGAAGGAAGGCACTATGGCGTAGTGACATTGAATTCTGAGTTAGGATAGGATTTGATTACTAATTAGCCATGTCAACTTGAGTATATTATTTCACCTCTTGGGTTTCATTTTTTGTAGTTGTTCAAAAAATGAAGGGATTGGATTTACAAAATCACATCTACCCCTATGACCCTGAAAATGGGATATTTGAAATATTATTTTATATTTAAGGAAGAGATGGGAAGTCTAAGCAATCCTTATGATCTTGGCTTCTTATTCTGCAGGGTGACCATGGCCCAGGTCTCTAATTTCTGGACTGAAGCCTTGTAAAATAGAAATACTGTGGCTTTTTAATCCTCAGTAACAGTCAAATACGAACAAAAAATCCTTATTTTATTTTTTTATGTTTTTGAGAAAGAGTCTCACTGTGCCATCCAGACTGGAGTTCAGTGGTGTGATCTCAGCTCACTCCAACCAACCTCTGCCTCCTGGGTTCAAGCAATTCTAGTGCCTCAGCTTCCCAAGTAGCTGGGACTACAATTGTGCACCACCATGCCCAGCTAATTTTTGTAAAAAATTCTTAGCTTTATTCTTAAATTTTCCATGTTTGGGGGGACATGGTCTATATTTTCCTCAGACTCTGAACATTTTTTTTAATGTGCAAAAGTTACAGTTCCTTTTCTATGGTTTCTTTTAAAATGTGGATCAATAATCTCATTGTTTAGAATAAGAGGTGGCCTGGATTTCAATGGAAATTACGTGTCTTTTTAGATATGCAAAAGTTCCACTAAGTATATGAAGATTTGAAGGGATGTATGACAGTTTAAAAACTGTTTCCTATGCTGTGTTGGTGGCTAGGTATTAAGAGGTTAATAATAACAATTTAGCTCTCCAAAGATTCCGATCACAGGTGTTAAACGGGAAGGGAAACAAACATCCTAGTTCTTGTATTCTTGATAATGATTTGCAATATTGTTTTTAGTATCACTGCAAACCTCTATAAATATGATTTTAAAAAGTATTTCTTTAGGTTGGAATTACTTCTGTGCATTGACTTATCTTCCTGGGTTTCATTAGCCATACATGTTATACTTTCTTCCTTACCACTGTTTATCTCAAACTCTTGAGATGAAAGTTCAGCCTCAGGAGGGAGCGAGGAGCTTCAGGACTCTCGCTGACCTCCAGCACAGCGTAGTTGCCTTATGGAAAAGTGGCCACGCTGTTTTCTACACTGGTCCCTGCCCCTGCTACTCCTCACTGGGCAGAGCACAGGCCCCCTGGCCCTGCCTGAACATATTAGTCAGTGTTGGCTCTGTACTTCTCTGGGGAGGAAATCCCAAAGACAACCCACAGCCCCTCTGCCATTGCAGCTGCAGCAGGACCGCCCTTACTGGCCTTGGACTGGAGAAGGAACAAAGGGACCCGGTCACTTCCCTGACACCTCCAGCACACAACAGAGGTTATATGGAAAGAATTCCAGTCTCTCTTCCCTGTGAGCTCCCACCTGCTACTCTTCACCAGGCAGGGCTCCTGGCTTGGGCCCAGAGTGCAGGCACCTCACACTCAGCTGAACATTTCCACTGGCAGCAGCTCCTTGTTTTTGTGCGATGGAACTCCCAGAGGCAACTGAAAGCCCATCTGCCACTGCCACAGCCACTGCAGTCGTAGTGCCCTTGCTGTCTGTGGACTGGGGAAGGAACAAAGATCCTGAGTGCTTTATTCACACCCCAGCAGGCCCCAGCCACCCTATGGAAAACAGGCCAGTGTGTCTTCCCTGCACGCCCCTGATGCCCCACTCCTCACCAGGCAGGGCCCTCTGGCTTGGGCTCACAATGCAGCCACCACACCCTGGCTGATTCTTCCGATTGGCAGTAGCTCTAAGTTTCTCTGGAGTGGAGCCACAAGGGACGGGCAAAAAGTCCACTCCCATGGCCACTGACAAGGTTCCTGCCCCTGCCGCTCCCAAGCTGTGCAGTGAACACAAAGCCTGAGCTTGCCCCAGGGCTGCGGTGCACAGCCCAGGAGTGCTAAGCTGAGATCTGCAGCCAGCACTCAAGTGGGAGAGGAGCTGGCATCCTCAGGGTACTGAGAGGGAGCGTGGCTCTAAATGCGAGAAAATGCAGAGGAGCCACGTAACTGAGCCAGAGCCCACTCCCAGGCCATTTATGAGCCATCTGTGAGTTTGCAGCCCAAACTTTAAAATCAAAAATACTTTGTTAGTATACTCCCCTGTAAAACTATAGATGGAAATTTAGCCACAAATAAAGACCTTGCACACCACTTTGGCCCTCTGAAAACATCCAGAAATGAAATCCACTGACTGTACTCAAATTACATCACAGTTAAAGGAACATCAGCCCACACAAATGAGAAAGAACCAGCACAAGAATTCTGGCAACTCTACAAGCCAAACTGTCTCTGTATCTCCAAATGACCACACTAGCTCCTAGCTCCCCAGCAATGGTTCCTAACCAGAAAGAAATGGCTGAAGTGACAGACATAGGATTCAGAATCTGGATGGCAGCAAAGAGCATTGAGTGAAATTAAGGAGAAAGTTGAAACCCATCCCAAGGAATCTAAGGAGTGAGTAAAATGATTCAAGAGATGACAGACAAAAAAGACATTTGAAGAAGAACCAAGCCTATCTGGTAGAGCTAAAAAATCTCACTGTAAGAATTTCATAGTACAATCAGAAGTTTTAACAGCAGAATAGACCCAGCTGAGGAAAGAATCTCAGAGCTTGAATACCATTTTTCAAATTAACGTTGTCAGACAAAAATAAAGAACAAAGAAGTGACCGGGCGTGGGGGCTCACACCTGTAATCAAAGCACTTTGGGAGGCCAAGGTGGGTGGATCACGAGGTCAAGAGATCGAGACAATCCTGGCCAACATGGTGAAACCCCATCTCTACTAAAAATACAAAAATTAGCTGGGCATGGTGGCACGTGCCTGCAGTCCCAGCTACTTGGGAGGCTGAGGCAGGAGAATCACTTGAACCTGGGAGGTGGAGGTTGCAGTTAGCCGAGATCATACCACTGCACTCTAGCCTGGCGACAGAGCAAGACTCCGTCTCAAAAAAAAAAAAAAGAAAGAAAGAAAGAAAAAAAAGAAAAAAGAAATGTAAAGAATGAACAAAGCCTTTGAGAAACATGGGGTTATATAAGGAGACCAAATCTGTGACTCATTGTTGTCTCTGAAGGGGAGAGAAAGTGAGCAACTTGGAAAACATATTTGAGGATATTATCCATGAAAATTTCCCCAATATCACTAAAGAGGTCGACATACAAACACAGGAAATTCAGAGAACCTCAATGAGATAGTATAAAAGACAACTGTCCTTAAGATACATATTTGAGGATCTTAGTTTCATTTATGTCATGAATCTCATTTATTGATTTGTGTATGTTGAACCAACCTTGAATCCCAGGAATAAAGCCTACTTGATTGCGGTGGATTCGCTTTTGATGTACTACTGAATTCAGTTTGCTAGTATTTTATTGAGGATTTTTGCATCTGTGTTCATCAAGGATATTGGCTTGAAGTTTCCTTTAGTGTTGTTGCGTCTCTGCCAAGCTTTAGCATCAGAATGATGCTGGTGGCCTCATAAAATGCGTTAGTTCTTCCTCTTCAGTTTTTTGGAATTGTTTCAGCAGTCTTGGTCCAAGCACTTCTTTATATGACTGGTAGAATTTAGATGTGAATTTGTCTGGTCCAAGGCTTTTTCTGGTTGGTCGGTTTTTTATTACTGATTCTGAAACTCAGTTCTTTTTTTTTTTTTTTTTGAGACATTCCCCCTCTGTCACCCAGGCGGGAGGGCAGTGGTGCGATCTCAGCTCTTTTTTCCCTCCCCCTTCCAGGTTCAAGCGATTCTCCTGCCTCAGCCTCTCACGTAGCTGAAATTACAGATGTGCACCACCACATCCAGCTAATTTTTTGTGTTTTTAGTAGAGACGAGGTTCACCATGTTGGCCAAGCTGGTCTGAAACTCAGTTTCATGTGCTCTTGAAAAGAATGTGTCTTCTACAGTTGTTGGGTGGGATGTTCTCTCAAGATCATTTAGGTGAAGTTGCTTTCTGGTATTCTTCTGTATCCTTACTGATTGTCTGTCTCCTTTATTGACTCCCAAGGCTGAATGGTGATGCGTCCAACTTCAACTGTAGATTAGTCTGTTTCTGTTTCAGATCATAACTCTTGTTTTGTATATTTTGAACCCTATTGTTAGGCACATGTGTATTTAGGATTGTTATGTCTTCTTGATGAAAGGACCCCTTTATCATTATGTAACGTTTCTTCTTATCTCTGGGAACATTCCTCATTCTGAAGTTCTGAACTCTATTTGTGGTAATATGAATACAGCCTTCACAGTTCTATTTTCACTAGTATTTGTTTGATACATCTTTTTCTCAGCTTTTACATTGAGATGTACAGACCATTTGCATTAAAGTAATTGTTAATAGGGTTGAATTTACACCTACCATCAAGTTACTTATTTCTCTTTGTCCCATTTAAACTTTGTTCCTTTTTTCATCTTTTTCTGCCTTCATTTGGGTTAAGTGTTTTTATGATTGCCTTTTATTTCCACCATTTACTTATGAGTTTAATTAATTTTTAACGGTTTTAGTGTTTTCCTCAATGTTTACAATTATACATCTTTGATGTTTCACATTCCACCTTGAAATGATACTATTCTACCTTGAAAGGATACTATTCTATAAGAACCTTACATCCTTGTGCTTCTAGTTCCTCCCTCCCAAAATGTTGTGCTATTGCTCTCTCTAACAGAGATCTATAACATCCACTCTGTTATAGATCTCACAATACATTAACTGCATGACCATTAACGGAATGGTCAGTTGCGTGTTAAAGTGATTATGAATACACATATTTTAAATATTTCCTTCTTAATTTATTTTACCATTTCTGGTGCTCCTCATCTTTTGGGGTAGATCTCAATTTTCATCTGTTGTCAGATTCTTTCTGTGAAAAACAATCTTTAGCATTTCTTGTAGCACAGATCTGCTGCTACTGACGTCTTTCAGATTTTGCGTGTCAGAAGAAGTCTTTATTTTGCTTTCAGTTTTTAAAATAATTTTGCCAAGTATAGATACTAGGTTGAGAGTTTCATGCCTTGCTTTAATGATGATATTCCATTATCTTCTGTTTTAAATGGTTTCTGACCAGAAATCTGGTATTTCTTCCTGTGTATTCAGCAGTTCCTTTTTCTCTGACTGCCTTTAAGATTTTCTTATCTTTGATTTTCAACAATTTGACTATGATGTGCTTATTACTAATTTTTTGTTTTTATTCCACTTGAGGTTTACTGAGCTCATTGGATTTATAGATTGTTGATTTTCATTGTCTTTGTAAAATTCATAGCCATTATCTGTTCAAATGGTTCTTTTTTCACTTCTCTCTGTATTTTCCTTTTGGGACTCTAAGTACCCCAGTGTTAGAAAAATGGTGTTTCATAAATCTTATAAGCTTGTTCTGCTTTTTTTTTTCCAGTAACTATTTTTCTTTCTTTTTGTGTTGGTTTTGATAAGTTCTAGTAACATATGTCCAAGTTTATGGATTATTTTGTCAGTTGTGTCTAGTTGACTTCTCAGTCCATTGAGTGAATTCTTCATCTCTGATATCACGATTTTCTTCCTAGCATTTTCATGTTACTCTTTTCTGTAGTTTCCATCTCTTTGCTGAAATTCTCCACCTATCCATGCATACTGTCCACTATTACCACAAAATCCTTTAACATATTAATGTAAGTATTGTACAATTCAAATCTGATAGTTGTCAGATGGAGTCTTCTCTGAGTCTGGCTCTCTTGATTGCTTTATTATTCAATAGTGTCTTTTTCCCCCCTTGGATTTTTGGTATGCCTTGTCATTCTTTAATCAAAACTAGACGTTATAAATGGAAGAACAGTAGAGATTGCAGTAAGTATTATTTATACTTTGAAATGGTCACCCTCCTTCTCTTGCAAATAAATGTTGTGGGCAACTGACTCAATGTAGTCACTAGTTGAGCTGAATTTGGGATTTTGTGATTGCTACTTTTACCTTAAGTGCACTAAGGGTTTAAATTCCTCCAGTGATGGGCTACTATTAATATCTTTTGCTTAGAGTGGGGCCTGGGAGGTTGAAGAGTTTTCTCAGTGTTCCTAATCGATTCTGAAATTTCAGCAGTCACTGCATGCCTGCACTACAGAGGAGATAGCTTCATGCACACAAACTAACCCCATAGATACTCTGCTGTTTCTTGTTACTGAATGCTCAGCTTTTGGTGAATGAAGACAAATGCACTATCTCTGGGAACAACTTCAGTCTTAGGCAAGCTGTGTACAACTAGACATTGAAAGGAGAGATTTCTCAGTGTTCTTGCCCCTGCTTCTCATGGAACTTGTATCTGTGGGGGGTTTAAAGAGGAAGAGTAGTAGACTTCTGCTTTGTTGCAATGCAAAATGCTGGGCACTAGAAAAGTCCCCATCTCTCCACCAAGAGAATAAGATCTGGGCCCCTACCCATTCTTGAGAAGCAAAGGGTGGTTGCCTACAGTCTTAGAGGCAGGACCGTTTCCTGACCTGTCCTCCAGAAGCTGAAAGAATTTGGTCTCGTAGGAACAGTGATATAGAAAAAATTTTGAGGGTTTCATGTCTGCTCCGCAAGACAGCCAGTCACCACCTACAGCGTGCACAGCCTGATACATGGCACTCTGGTCTCCTGCCTTGTTCTCATGAACACCCAGAAAAGGGCTATGCAAAAGAGTATGTGCGTGAGAACCATTACGACTGATAGGCACTCTCATCTGTTCTGTGGTGTCCAGGTTTTAAAGAAAATCACTCTAAGAACTCCTTAAGGTTCTAGAATGCTTCGAATCTATTGTTGGTTTTTTTTTTTCTTTTGGCATTTCCCTCTGCCTGCTAATATAGAAAAGAGCATAGTTAGCATTCTCAGGGAACTCTGTCCTGTTTCTGTCACAGATTTCTTTCCATGCTTCTCTGTTCTAGAAATTACTCAACTTGAATTCTTCTCTTTGAATTTCAGCACCGTCGGAGCAACGTCCTGGGGTCCAGGACTGCTACCATGGTGATGGACAGAGTTACTGAGCCTCATTCTCCACCACTGTCACAGGAAGGACATGTCAGTCTTGGTCCTCTTTGACACCACACCAGCATCAGAGGACCACAGAATACTACCCAAATGGGTATATCTTTGAGTTTTACCCTAAGAGAAACAGCAGCCCACTTAAATTTCTCTTGGAAGAGCCATGCTTCCAGCTAACATTTTAAGACCAAATTTCTCTCTGACCCGGGATGTTGGGTAGAATGTCTCGAGCTTCTTTCTTTTTTTTTCTTTTTTCTGAGACAGTGCCTCACTCTGTCGCTCAGGTTGGAGTGCAGTAGCGCGATCTTGGCTCACTGCAAGCTCTGCCTCCTGGGTTCATGCCATTCTCCTGCCTCAGCCTCCCGAGTAGCTGGGACTACAGGTGCCCACCACCACGCCCGGCTAATTTTTTGTATTTTTAGTAGAGACGAGGTTTCACCGTGTTAGCCAGGATGATCTAGATCTCCTGACCTTGTGATCTGCCTGCTTCAGCCTCCCAAAGTGCTGGGATTACAAGTGTGAGCCACCCGCACCTGGCCTCAGGCTTCTTTCTTTGGGCACAGGGTCTGAGAGGAGAGAAATCTCAGGCTGGCTTTCTTTCCTAATAGTTTACAGAAGCAGGAGGCTGGTGAGGTCCCGTGACCAGAAAGTTCAGGAGACCACATGACCACATGCTTAGAAACAGTATCATTCTACAACGCCCACTAAACACCAATGTGATTGTTTAACAAGGGAATTCTGCCATTCTAGTCTCCAAGCCCTGAAGTGAAGGTTGTGTTTGCCATTTTCACCTTGGGTCCCAAGTAAAGGATATCTATATCGACATCCAGATCTTCCAATCAGTTTCTCCTCTAACCTGTACAAACACACTGGGTCCCGAACACAAGGTGTCTGAAGAGCTATGTGTTGCCAGCACTTGAGGAGCAAAAGTAGGAAGGCAGCTGAGAATTAGGAAATATAGAGATTCTGAAGAGTTACACATGCAGGAAGATGGACAGAAACCCAGTTCTGACCATGCCAGCCTTTCTACCATGAAGGATTAACAAATACATGGGAAAAGTGTTTTCACAGGTTAGACAATAGACATGATAGGCCTAAGAGAATTGAGAAAGGGAATCAAAGGAGATCAACCCCATCATTAGCCTGGCATCCTTCTGGAGACCCTTGTTGGACTAAAGGGCAAGGAGATGGAGCCAAAGCCGACCATGGCAGTCTCGCTGAACTGAGGAGAGAGACTGAAGTTTGCGATGCTTCAGGCAGCTGAGGTGTTCCAGGCTAGCTAAGAATGAGAAGGGATTTGTGGAGAAAGGAGCTCCAGGAATACGCATAGAAGCCTCCTCAAGACTTTGGCTAAACAGAAAGCTGCGTATGCACAGGGAGAGGTTCCACAAAGAAAGGAGGATAAAGGACAGCTACTGGGAAAAGAACAACTGCAGGGGAACCGTGAGCTTAATGGAGATGCCAGAGCTCACATAGCACTGGGGGATATTTGGGTTCTGACCACTGTGAGGGAGACACCTCAGTGAACATCTTGGGCATTCATTAGAAACCAAAGAAAACCATATTTTGGGAGTAGGATCATTATATTCCTAGGGTAAAGGCAACTCCAGAAACACTCAAGCAAACCTTTTTCCAAGCAAGTCTAAAGGATCCAAATGATCTCCAAGTAAATTAACTGCCTTCCAGAAGAAAACTCAACCTCCTTAGAGTTAAGGAACACAGTCTAGTTGCTCAGTTATATGGCTTTTCTACAATGTGTGACCTCAATTAAAAATTTACTAGACACACAAGAAGCATTTAGTGTGATCCATAACCAGGAGAAAAATCACTCAACACAAACGGACCCAGCAATGATAGAAATGATGGCATTGGCAAAAATACTTAAAATGCACCTATGAGAACTATGTTCAGGGATATAAGGAAAACCTGATCATGAGAGAAACAATTGTAGAATATCAAAAGAAAGAAAAAGAATTAAAGAGCCAAATAGAAATTAAAGAACTGAGAAAAGGCAATCTCTAATGAAGAATTCACTGGATGGCCTTATCATCACTTTAGACATTACAATAGGAAAAGTGAACTAGAAAATAATTAAATAGAAACTAGACAAACCACAGGAAAGACACACACATACACACAAAGACTGAACCAACTAATCAGCAGAGCCTCAAGGACATCTATAAAAACATCCAAACATTTCATTTACATGTTAAGCACGTCACAGAAGGAGAGCAAAGAGATATTGTGACAGAAATTATACTTGAAGCCATGATGGCTGACAACTTTCCAAATATCCAGAAAACAAGAAACTTACAGAGTCAAGAAGCTCAGTGACTCAGATATACAATTCTAAAGAGCAAACTCTGTGCTCTACTGGGGGACATCATAGTTAAATTGTCCCAGTTCAAAGCTAAGAAGAAAAACCATTTCCAGAAGCCAGAGGAAAGAAAGATCCTTTAACGTAGAGGAGCTACGACAAAAAAAAAAAAAAAAAAAAGGCTGATGCCGTCTCGTCAGCAACAATGCAAGCCAGAAACCATGGAATAACATCTTTAAAGTGACGAAATAGAAACAAAAGATCAACCTAGAACACTGTATCCAGAAAAAAAAATCCCTTGAAAATGAATTTATACTAAGGAATATTCTGTACCTCCCCAAAACAAACAAACAAAAATCTAAAAGCCTGTCTGATTGGCAGTTTCCCACAAGAAAAGGTGTTAAGGACCAGGCACATTGGCTCACACCTGTAATCCTAGCATTTTGGGAGGCCAAGGTGGGTGGATCCCTTGAGATCAGGTGTTCAAGACAAGCCTGGCTAACAGTGTGAAACCCCATCTCTACTAAAAATACAAAAAAAAATAGCTGGGTGTGGTGGCGCATGCAGGTAATCCCAGCTACTCTGGAGGGTGAGGCAGGAGAATCACTTGAACCCTGGAGGCAGAGGTTGCAGTGAGCCAAGATCGCCAAGATTGCACCACTGCACTCCAGCATGGGCAACAAAGCAAGATTCCCTCTCAACAGAAAAAGAAAGAAAAGGTGTTAAAGTTAGGCACAGTAGCTCACGCCTGTAATCCTAGCATTCTGAGAGGTCTAGGCGGGTGGATCACCTGAGATCAGGAGTTCGAGACCAGCCTGTCCAGCATGGTGGAACCCCATCCCTACTAAAAATACAAAAAATTAGTCGGTCGTGGTGACACATGCCTGTAATCCCAGCTACCCAAGAGGCCAAGGCAGGAGTATCGCTGGAACCTGGGAGGCGGAGACTGTAGTGAGCTGAGATCACGGCACTGCACTCCAGCCTGGGTGACAGAGTGAGACTCTGTCTCAAAAAAAAAAGAAAAAGAAAAGATGTTAAAGAAAGCTATTTAGGTAGAAGGAATATAATACCAGGTAAAAACCTTAATCCATACTATGTAATGAAGAAGCCTGGAAATCGCAAATGTCAAGTTCAATGTAAAAGATTGTATTCATCTAATTTATTACTGTCTTTGACAGATCGACTCATGGAAGCAAAATGATAGCAATGTATTTTTTTAACGTATGTAAAGGTAAAAGTTTGAAAGCAGTAGCATCAATAATGTAGGGAATCTGTGGAAGTACACAGTTTGTGATGTCATCCATGATGTTAGGTAATATAAATGTGGGGTTATGTGGTTGAATGCAGTAGGTCCAAGAGGGATATTGTGAGTCCTAGAGCCACCACCATCATTAAAACATAGAGGAATAGATAATAATTAGACTATTCCATTATCCAAAAGAATAAAGGAAAGGAAGAGTACAAAATAAAGATGAGGTCCAGGCAGAAAATGCATAGCATCCTGACCGACTGAAACTCAGCCCCCTCCTAAGTGAATTCCATGAAACAGGATGATACATTGGACATGAAAGGCAGAGACGGTTAAGTTGAGTAAAAACCAAAGCCCAGTGAGGTTCTTTTACAATCAGTTCCCTTTAAATGGAAAAACTGAATGGAAAACCAAAGTATGGAAACGCTATACCTGGAACACATGAAGCAGAGGAAAGCTGGAGTGGCAATGTCAAGATCAGACAAAGGAGATTTCAGGACAAGAAATAAGACCAAGATCAGAAGGACATTTCATGAGTGAAAAGGGTTCATCCATGAAGACGTACCAAGGCTAAATGTGTTGTACCCTAATAAGAGTCCTTCTGATATATGAAGCAATGACTGAAAGAACTCAAGAGAGAAATAGATAAGCCAATAACCAGAGTTAGAGGTTTCCTTGCTTCTCTCTCACTATGGTTATAAATCTTCCCCAAACACAATATACTAGAACAAATATGCAAAAAATCAGGCAAAATTCTATTATCTCTGCAAAATGTTGACCTACTAAACACTATGCCAAACTGCAGAATACACATTCAAGTGTGCATGAAGCATTTGCCGAGGTATACCCTACATGTGGCCTTTCAGCAAGTCTCCATAGATTTAAACGAAATAAAGAGTGTGTTTTCTGAACACAACAGAATGAAGTAATGTATGAATAAGGAAAAGTTTGCTGACTTCTCAAAGATTTGGACGTGAAAAGGCACATTTCAAAATATTCCTTGAGACATAGAAGAAATCACCAAGGAATTTAGAAAAGTTGTGAACTGGGTAAGAAAAGAACACAATCTATCCAAACTTGTGGGATGCAATGAATGTTTTTAGGGTTTTCTCTAATGTTTGATGCTCTTAGGAGAAAACACACATGTAAAAATCAATGATTTCAGACTGCAGTTCTCAAAGTGTGGTCTGGAGAAACCTGAGGACCCTTGAGATACCTTCAGAGAGAGTCAATAAGGCTAAAACACTTCGCATTGAGAAAACAAAGATTTTATTGGCCCTTTTGAGACAGAGTCTCGCTCTGTTGCCCAGGCTGGAGTGCAGTGGCATGATCTCGGCTCAATGTAGCCTCCACCTTCCCAGTTCAATCGATTTTCCTGCCTCAGCCTCCTGAGTAGCTGGGACTACAGGCATGTGCCACCATGCCTGGCTAATTTT